AGGTTAGGAGGGTAATTGTTTCAAGGGTTTTGAATTTAGGATGGGAGAGAAGGGGAAAACTAGAAAAAGAAGAAGAAGAAGGCTTGAAAGGAAGAGAGAAACAAAAAACGGGATTAGGTTTTCCTTTCCCTTTTGTTATGTCCATCCAACCTCCTTTTTTTTTTCTACTAACATCCCCCAAGATTGAAGAGTTAGACAACATGGTCCTCTATTAAAATCCCTTTTTATATTAGTCATCTCAAACCTAAATTAATTAATCAATTAATTATTCTATAAGTCCCAAAAATTTGGAATATTACAATACCCCTAACAACATTCCTAAAATTTCTGCAATAACCTTGCACAGCCAATGTACCCACTATTCCAAATATTGTTCTAAATTTTTGAAAAAATTGTGGAGAAAAAGGGAGAGGAAGATGAGAGCTAAGATTCAAAGGAAATAAAATAGCATTGAATGCTTTGGGAATTAGTGATGGTGACATGAGATGTCAAATGAATCAAAGAAGATTGATGTACTCTAGCAAGAAGTAATTATGGGGGAGAAAAAGAAAAAAAAGGATTGAGAAAGGGAAGATGAAGGATGAGGAATGAATCCACTGGAGGTAAAAAGGGAAAATTAAATATAATCCCTCTTAATCCCACAAGGAAGCTGGGGTACAATTGATGTAATCCACTTAGGATAGGATGCAAGATGGGATAAATATCATCTCATCCAATGACTCCCCCAAACATTGGTTACTATAAGATTGAACAAAATATGTTATCTAGTCCCACAACTTATTCGGCACTCTAAACGTGCTATTAGGTTATAGGTTAGAAAAATCTATATTTATCTTTTTTCTATTATTATAAAAAAGACAAACTAATTTAATTAGGATGAAATATATCTTTAATGATGATTTGACTCTCTAATGAACACAACTATAAGTTTGATTAGCAAACACTAATTACCAAAATAATAATAGTGATTAACTATCAGTTATTAGTGTTATAAGATATCAGTCATCAACCATCAACTATTAGCTATCACCCAAATTTGAATAGCTAATCCAAATGACCCCTTAGACTTTTAAGTAGTTTGAGGTGTTGGGCTAACTCAAGTTACTTATCAAGTTAGATATAGATCTATATAATAATAACCCTTTATGGGCTTCTATAAGGTATCGGAGGTGATCAATTATGATATATATGTCCCCTTACTATACCTTTTTTTGATATTTATAAAGTTCATTTTCATTAAAAAAAAAAAGAATAAATATATGTGGGCCATCAATTTATTAACCACCTAATTAAATTCATCCACGTGCCAATGACACTAAAATCAATATCAACGCTTACATTTGTATATACAAATTAATAATAAAAAATATTCTTAAACTATACTTTAAGGGCATATATTAAAAAGACCCTAAGTAAATATAGTCATAATTTTTTTAGGTTAAATATCAATTTTGGTCCCTCAACTTTGTGATTTCAAACAATTTTCATCATTCAACTATTTTTTGTATATTTTTGGTCTATCAACTCCCAAAATTGCTCTGTCAATTAAGTCACACGATAGCTATTAAAATATTTCAAATGGCATTTTCCTTAAATTGATTGATGACAAGTAACTACACATCATATCATAAAATAAAAAGTTACCAAGTTAGGCATCCACTAATATCTCCATTGAGCCCACCTATTATATTTATATTTATTACTTTTTAAATATCACATAAAAGCCTAAGGGTGGGCATTGATCGATTTGGTGACCAAACCGACTAATATGGACTGTTAACCAAGTTTTTGATTGAGAAAAAATGAAAGCCAATGACCAAACTACATTAGAGTCAGTTGTGTCGATTTGGTATCCTTTCTTTTAAGTGTTGTTATTTTTAGTTTCGGTGGGCATCGAAATTAAAGTAAAAGAGCAGAAAATTCATAAAACTTAACCGAATTACAATGCAAATATCAACCACTCAACTTTTAATATCATTCTCAAATAATTTTTCAAATCCCATAAAAAACAATAAAACATTATTAATAAATTCATAATAAGCTTGAATGAATAGCATATACAGAAAAAAAAACACATTAATAATAGAAAATATCATAATATTTATGACTACCATAAGA